GAAAATTGGCACAGTTGAAAATCCGGCGGATATGATGACAAAGTCCATTCCGGCTCTCAAGTTCAAGCATTGCTTGGACTTGGTTGGTATTCTCAAATGTTGAAATTGCCCTTAGGGGTTTAGTGGAGAAGACAATTTGTTTTGCAGAGATACAGTGGCTCATTTGAATTTTCGCTAAGATGGAGATTTGTTAAACTTATGGCTCAAAATTCTGCCAACTCAGCAAGTGTATTTTTCATCACCCATTACATCATCAATGCTTAGCAGCCAAGGAGTGTGATCAACAAGCTTTTCCTAGGCGTGGTCAGCAAGTATATGTTCTTGATCAGCAAGTTTTTGGTGGCTCATTGTGGCTATAATTAGCCATGAAATCCATTCATTTGAGAGCATCCAACAAATTGAGTGAGTTTACTTAGTAAATAAAAGCAAAGTGTGTGAGATTTAGGGTGTAATTTGGGTTTTGGGTGAGAGCCACTTAGTCTCGTATCTCTTTATTTTCATAGTGAAATATTATTCTGTCTTCTTCCCGTGGACGTAGGCATAGCTGAACTACGTAAATCCTTGTCTCGTTTGTGTGTGTGCCATTTTATTTTCTTTTCATTTATTTCTCTCTTGTTCTCATAAACTCCTACTTGATCCTTATTTCGTAACACCTTTTGTATACCAGCCTTACATAAGCCTGCAATCGGAGAACCCTGGTTGGTCATTTCTATTGTTCTTCAGGAATGAAAACCCTAATTTTACCTAAGTGATTATTGTTTACTGCTAGTTTAATCTCTATCTCGAAAGTGGCTTAATCTTATATACCTAATTTTGTCCTCATGGAACTATACCTTTGATTGATTCAAATGCTAAAGTCTATGTCATGGTTGTGATGGAAGGAAATTTAGTAACTGATTTGAAATTAAGATGAATTAGCAAAAGAAAAAGCCCAAGTGTTGGAATTAACCAGGAAGGCCAACCATCTCCATGTAAGCCTTTTCCTTCTTTGAACTCTGTGTGTGTGTCTGTGTGCCTGTGTGTTTTTTACTTCAAACTTCCCATTTCCAAAGAATGTTTTAGTACTTTATATTGTTTTCTCTACTTGACTAGTACTAAATTCTCAATTTATAATTTCATATACTTGCTATTATTATTATTAATATTATTATTATTTTTTGGTGCTCACAAATAACTCCCACTCATATTGTCCAAGACTCATTCTTTTACTTTGAAAAGTTGAGGAGATACACTGACTACACCTTTTCGTATACTTAGCGTAATATAAATTTTAAACTATATCTAATTTTGCATTGCAGGACCATGGCTTCAATCTCAAACAATGAGGGATTTTCAAAGAAAGTACAACAAGCTCTCAACAAGGGAGATATAATCAGCAGCTTGCCAGATTCCCTTCTTGTTCACATTCTCTCTTTCCTTCCAACAAAATACGCAGTCGGAACCAGCATACTCTCATCAAGATGGAAGCACCTCTGGGCTTCTGTTCCCAATCTAGACTTCAATGACAACTTGAGATTTAAACCTAAATCTTATTCTGATATGAGTCCTTACAACTTCCTAAACTTTGTTGATCGAGTACTTCTCAATCATGATTTGTCATGTACTCAGAAGTTCCGTTTGAACTGTGATGAAGAAAATAAAGATTTATCCAAATTATCTACATTGATAAGCATAGCCATAGAACGTGGTGTTCAAGAACTTGATATCGTTATTCACCCATCTGTAGTCACTTATCTTGATTATAGTTTCCCTTTAAGCCTCTTTACTTGCCCAACATTGGTAGTCTTAAAACTAGGATATCTATTGTGTAACTTATGTTTCAGTGTTCCTTGCTTGGTCCATTTTAAAAGTCTCAAGGTCCTCCATGTTTCAATTAGTTTTCCGGACAATGACTTAATGCAATTCCTTTTCTGTAATTGCCCTGTTCTTGAGGACCAATTCTCGAGTATCTTACTCTCCAAGATGATTACTTGCCTTGCTATGTGCTAAAGAACCTAACCTCGTTGGTTAAAGCAGATGTTAATGTTGGAAACTGCTGTCCAAAAACTATGGAAGTCAAACAGCGTGCTAATCGGATATTTGTAATTCTCAGAGAAATTTGTAGTGTCAAATATCCATCTCTAGGCCCTTTTTAATTTGATAATAGTTATGACTTTTGAATTTCTTCTTCCTTGTAAGTTTGTTGGAACTGTAATTTTTTTAATTTAATTTAGTCCAATATATATTTGATTATTATGTTCATGTCATATTAAGGCTCTCGACTATGCTGATGACGGTAAATCGCTTAAAAGAAAAGAAACTGCTAATGTTCCCAAGGGGCTCAATAACCTGTCAAATTTTACTATCAGGGAAGAAAATTTTTGCTCCAGCCGGGATTTTGCGCAGACATAATTGAGAGAGCTATTGCCCACTCCGCATCTGTAGAGTTATTCTTGATAACTTTTCTGCCATGTAAAACATTGCGGGCTCTGATATTTTGCTGTATCTACTTTCTATGATGAAAGAAAATGCACTTGTTTTTGTTAAACTTATTTCTGATGAGACAGTTTTTAGTTTTAGTTTTCACAAACCTCCTTCACACAACAAGTGTTCATTAAAATTGAACACCAACTAACAAATGCTTTAGAGAGGATTAGTGTCAATTCATCACCAGGGACTTCAAGAGACCCCATTGTTTGTTACAAACTTGTTGCTTATGACAGTAGACAATGGCACAATATTTACTTTATTGGCTTGGGCTTGTCCTCTTAATTGCTTGAATTTATTTTTATTTAAGGAAGAAAAAAAAACACTTTAATACTGCAACTAGAAGGTATGGAAATTCCTACTGTTCAATGGGTTGAGTGCTGTATCAAATGAAGTATCTTTTTCCTTAATTGCTGATCTAGCCTTCACTATTTTCATTTGATTTTTTTTTTCCCCAATCTTTATAGCTAGTAATGATATATAAACTAACGAGTAATATTTTTAAGAGGTCTCTTTTGTGAGAATAATCATGAATTTTCCTTATTTAATCATTGAATTAAATAATTTTTTGAGATCAATTATTTAATGCATCTAAGTTTAAAAAAAAACTCATATTAAAAGGACTATTTAGAAGCATTACTCTAAACTAAATAACTTGTTCTGTATATTAGTAATTATAAATTAATTTTTATAAAAATAGAGTTTAGATTATTTCGTGAAATTAAAAAAGGAATGGATAAAAGGATAGTTAGACAAATGAAGATGGGTGATATATTTTTTTATCACTCAATGAAATTGAGGTAATATTTGGCCTCAAATTCAAAATTTTTAATTATTTAAAATTTTTATAATTAGGGTTGAGTTTGGGTTGAAGTACTAGCAACCCGAGCCAACCCGAACCTGAATTTTAATATTATTTTCATATATATTTTTATTTTTAAATACTTTATATATAATAGTTAAACTATGATTACTTTTTTCTTTTCAATTTTTTTTTGTTAAATCTTAACTTATTATATGTTAACATTTAGGAGAATTAAGTCCTTACTTGATTTGAATGAAAATAGAAAATTGTACAAAAAAACCCTGCTTAGTTCAGTTTTTTATTCTCTGAATTCTTAATAACTGTTTTCAGAATTATAAACCAAGCAAGTCAATTTTTAAAAATTTTGTTTGCAATTTATTAAAAATCTACAAAAAGTCTTTAAACTTTTTCTTGTTTAAGTGTAATTTAATTTAAATCTAATTCAAGATCATATTAAAAAATTTATGTAAGGATTAGCCATACGAATAACCTGAATTAACCTGAAATTTTTACTATAAATTTAAACCCAAGTTGCAAGCCCGAATTTAAAAGTAAAATGATGGGTTGGGCTTGGGTTGAGTAGTTAAGGTTGAAAATAGAGTTAAGATTAGACTTAAGTTTAACATTTTATATGATGAGTTGGGCTCAAATTATACCTCAAATCTGTCCGAACTGTAACCCAGTATATAAGTACGTAGAAAGAATATAACTAAAAATAAATTCAAAAACAAAATGTGAGAGGGGGTCAAAGTTTTCGAGACGTGGAACTAATATGAGAGGCGGTTGGGTGTGCCTTTTCGTTTCTCCACACTTGGGCAGATACAGAGAGGGAAAAAGTGATAGGTTTTTTCATTTCTGTACCACACATTTCCAGAGAAAGAAAGGGGCGATTAGGGTTTTGGTCATCTCTTCAACGCACTTGGATCGTTTGAGAGAGGAAGTGGATGACTAGGGATTCAGAGCTCCATTTTCATTGCTCTTCAAAACAGCTCAGAGAGAGAGAGAAAGAGACACCTTCTTTGTGACGTGAAATTGAAATTAATTGGTGGTAAGAAAGACTAAAACATCTCCTTTGTTATGTTCTTCAGTGCCTACTAGGAGCCTTGTTTGTTAGAAATAAATGTTATTGTGTTTCCTATTTTCTCTATCTAATCATATTTCAATTCATCTACCAAGAAATTAAATTTTTATGTATTCACAATTTCAGTGTAGGTAAGCTTTTACGTCTGTATAAAGTAATTTTTCTTCTAATTTTTCTATAGATTCCGAATATGTTTTGTCATTTGGATTATATATGATCCATTGTAGTATCAATTTCATAATTTACCAAGTGGTTCCACATTCAAAACTCTGGAACAAGTAGTGTTTGTCAAAAGTCCTGTGTGGGGCTATTTTCGTACAAAGGCCAGTCACATGTAACTTCTATCTTCAGATGAATTAGGGTAGAAGAAAGAGCCCAAGTGATTGAAGCTCTTTGTACTGTAAATTATTTTCTTGGTACAAAATTCTCAATAATCTCATGTACTTGTCATCATATTTTTTTTGTTTTTTTTTTTTTTTTTTTTTGGTGCTCGCGAATGACACATACTAATTTTTTTCTTGTGATCCCAAATACTTGACCTTACAGCACTGTAGAGTTAGGAGGTACAAAATTCCCAATAATCTCATTTCTTATCTATTTTTGCATTACAGATTCATGGCTTCAATGTCAAACCATGAGGGATCTTAAAAGAAAGTGAGAAAAATTCTCAAGAAGGTGGATAGGATCAGCAGCTTGCCAGACTCACTACTTGTTCACATTCTTTCTTTCCTACCAACAATAGACGCAGTCGGAACCAGCATACTGTCGTCAAGATGGAAGCACCTCTGGGCTTATGTTCCCACTCTAGACTTCGATGTCTACTTGCCGTTTGGAGAATGTTATTCAGATATGAACTTTGTTGATCGTGTACTTTTCAATCATGAATTGCCTTGCATTCAGAAGTTTCGTGTGAACTGTGTGGAAGAAAATGATTTATCAAGAATATATACATGGATTAGTGTAGCCATAAAACGTGGTGTTCAAGAACTTGAAATCTTTATTAAACAAGGCGAATGGGATTTTAGGTGCCCTTTAAGCCTCTTCACTTGCCCAACATTGGTAGTCTTGAAACTGGGATTTCATGTAAGTTTAAGTACTGTTCCTCGCTCGGTCCATTTTAAAAGTCTTAAGGTCCTCCATGTTTCATTTAATTTTCCGGACAATGGATTGACCCAAAATCTTTTCTGGAATTGCCCTGTTCTTGAAGATTTGTTTATTGAAGGATATGTTTACAATTATGATGAACTAACTTTCAATCTCTCAACGCGGGCACCTCTTTAGAGTTTTATGTTAGATTTGGAAGGTTATCATGCAGACGCAACTTCTAAATATAGTTCGAAAGAAATTGTGATCAATTCACCGGGTCTTGAGTGTCTTACTCTCCATGAAGATTACTTGCCTTGTTATGTGCTAGAGAACCTAACCTCGTTGGTTAAAGCAGATGTTGATGTTGGACACTGCTGTATAAAGACCAAGTCAACTGAACAACATGCTGATCGTGTACTTGTGCTACTCAGGAAAATTTGTAATATCAAATATCTATCTCTAGGTGCTCGCACCATGGGGGTAAGCTTGCAATTCTTTTCTTGATAATATTTAGTGTTCAATTTGTAATTCCTTTTTAATTAAGTTTGTTATTGCTGTTATTTTTAAAATTTGATCTAGTATATTTATAGCAATTCCATAACTTATGCTCATGTCTTATTAAGGCTATCGACCATGCTGTTGACAATAAACTGCTTTTATTCACTAATATGATTCGTTTGGAGCTGGTTGTTCACAATTGCTATGGCTGGAAACGTCTACTACACTTGCTCAATAGCATGCCTAACCTAGTACATCTTGTTTTGTACAAATTTAAGGTGACTAAATTAACATATAAGAAGATTTTGAAGTATGTATTTAGTTTTTGATTCACAGTTTCTAAACTTTTGATTTCTGTCTCTAGAACTGCGAAGACAATGTTTCTGAGGGTTTCAATTTTGTTGAACAAGAAGTGGTGCCTTGTTGTCTCTTGATGTATCTCCAAGAAATTGGATTTCATTCATTTCGGGGGCTGAGTGATGAGCTGAAGCTGATAGAGTACTTTTTGAAAAATGCCAAAGTATTGCATAGAATGAAAATTTCTACTGATGAGTTAGAAGAAAAGCAAGAGAGCGAGTTTCGCGAGAAAGTGCTAATGTTTCCAAGGAGTTCAATACTCTGTCAAATTTTACACCACAATATTATGCTGAAGCCGAGATAATTATCCCAGAATGCATTGTGGAGCTCACACGCGGGAGAGATCTATTGCCCACTCGGCATCTATAGAATTGTTCTCCTTGATAAAATTTTCTGTCATGTAACCAAGTTGGCTCTTATTTTTGGGTACCTGTATATTGAGTCAGTAATAGTTACATGTGTTCGATGTCTCTTCGACTGTTTCAATTTTGTAGGTTTTGTTCAATTCTAATTCTCAACCATAATCTGTCCTCGACTCTTTGCTATTGAATATATAGTCCTTGTATAATCATTGTTCAGCTTAAACCTGAGGCTTGTCAACTGAAGCATATTGTATTGTAAACTCTTGAGCCTGACAAGATCCATTTGGTTTTAGTAGGGTTTGCTTTAGATAATGTAATAATGTTTCCAATTAACATATCTGACCGAAAAAAGTTATGGTTGTAGTTCCAAAACATTGGAGGAACTTATTGAACTGTTGATGGTGGTGAGCTCGTGATTTCCATGATCAGTCCAGTTTATAGCGGCAAAATTAACTAAACGGGTTAATCGTGTCGACCCGTTTATGATGCGAACCCGTTTAAGGTCAACACAAATCCATTTAACTCGTGTTGGCAAGTTGTGTCAAACTTTGTCACCCCTAGCGGTAATGCGAAAACGGTAAAATTAAATCACAAATAGTAAAAATTTGAGTGAAAGCACGCGCGGAGCGAGAGTGCTCTCAAAGCGTGAGATCGATCGGCTAAGTCTGTAGTCTATACCTTCAAGTGCATGTATGTTCTTGCTTTTCTTGCTTTGAAATTGAAATATAGTGTTTTTTTATTTACAATGTTGCTGTAAGTGCAGAGAAGACTCAAGTAAAAACCAAACCTACCACAATAGAAAAGAACATTAAGAAAAGTTAATGTGTTTAAATATACACTAATTAATAGTGTAAATAAATTTGTACAAGAATTCCTTTTCTTTTTTTTTATAGAAGTTTGTTCTTTTAAAAATTTCACATTTCCTATCAATTTAACCCATAATATATAAAATCCAAATTTTTTTAAAATTATAAATTAATAGAACTATATATTAAAAGTAAGATAAAAGTATAATTAAAATTTATAATGATTGATTATTTAAATTGATTTACTGAAATATTTAAAAATTAATTTTATTTGTAAGGACAATTATAATACATGTCATAATACTAGTATCTAACAAAACAATTTACTTAAGCATTAAAACAACTTATAAAAAAAATCTTTAAAAAAATTGTCCTAAAAATATTGCCACCACAAGGTTTTTCTTATTTATTTTTTCTTTGTTAAATGTGTCCAGAGGGCGCCAAAGTTTCGGGGCTACAATCGTACGACATCGTTTTCTCACTGTCTCTCTTCAATTAGCAGAGACGTTTCTCACCCTCCTTTACTCTCTCCCTCTCTTCAATAGCAGAGAACAACGTTCGATCCCAGCCATTAGAGCCGCCGACAACCACCGACTTCTCGCCGGAAAGCCACCGTCGCTCACTCTCCATCACTGGTAAGAGCACTCACATTTTATATGGGAATTTGTCCGATTTACAGTTACTGGATTTTGAGGTTTCAATTTGGTGCTCAGGGTTTCAAGAATGAGTTGGGTTTATTTAGAGTTCCTATGTAAACTCGATTTGAATGCTTCATAGATTAAAAAATCTTTTTTTATGTTTAGGGTTTCAAGAAATCATTAGGTAGATAATTAAAAGATAGTTACAAATGACTCAACATGATGCCTATTTTGGGCCTCTCTTTAATTTTCATTCCTCAGATCAGTTTTTTTAGTCATATTAAATGGTTAAAAAGGGATATCAGCCATATATATCTCCACTCCACGATTGAAACCCTAAAACCCAAATCCCCCTTTTGTATACCAGCCTTACATAAGCCTGCAATCGGAGAACCCTAATTTTACATAAGTGATTATTGTTCACTGCTTGTTTAATCTCTATTACGGAAGTGGCTTAGTCTTATACCTAATTTTGTTCTCATGGGACTATACGTACGAATATTTGATTGATTCAAATGATATTTAGTCCATATCATAATTATGATGGAAGGAAATTCATTAACTGATTTGAAATGAACAGGTGAATTAGACAAAGAACGGCCCAAGTGTTAGAATCAAGCAGGAAGACCAACCATCTCCATGTAAGACTTTTCCTTCTTTGAGCTCTGTCTCTGTGTGCATTTTCAGTACTAAACACTCTATATAATTTCATATACTTGCAATTATTTTAATTTTTTGGTGCTCACAAATAACGCCCACTCATTTTTGTTTGGGACTCAATCTTTCACGATGAAAATTTGAGCAGTTACATTGACTACAATCACTTTGAATTATCTTGTGGAACAATCAAAAAATTGTTTTCACCTTCAATCGTAATTAACTTGCATAGAAAATTTTATGAAAACAATTTGGACAAATTAGATTTAGGGTTTTTACTTATATGGATTAATTGGGTTTGAGGTAACTAGATGAATTCAAAGCTTTTGATTTTGTGAGATTTTACGATTATTTTTAAGTACAAAACCCAAATATATATGTGTTAAAGAGTTTTTAGGGTAAATTGTGATTAGATGGTATGATAGCAATAATATGTTGATTGATTTTTTTATACCTTGACAAACAAACATGCACCTAATTTTGTCCTCATAGAAACTTGAAGTTCAGTGACTTTGAAAGGTAGATAAATAATTATCAGACAATAGCTTTGATTGATTCAAATGCTATTTTAGCCATATCATAATTATGATTGAAGTTTCCCTTTTTTTTTTTTTTTTTGCCCGGGAATACAAAGGAAGCTAAGCAGAAAAGGGAAAATTGGCCTTTAAGGCTTTAAGAAGCTAAGCCAGGCGGAGAATAAGTCCTAGATTAGTTCTGAAGACATGTCTTGCAGGTTTTGCAACCCATTGAGAGAGAAGATGGGTTGGTCTATTAGCAAACCTTGGAGCCCAAACAAGTTAGATATTGGGACAGGCCTTCAAAAGGAGTTTTACATCTTCAACAATTACATGGGAGAGTTTGCTTGTCGCCCATAAAAAAACAACGTTGAGGAGAAATTATTAAATGGTTCGGGACCATGTGATCCCGGTCTTTCACAAGCTGTCACACAATCAAATAATTTTCAACGTTGAGACAATCTAAAAATTTCTCAATGTTGAGACAATCTGTTTCAGCAGCAACATAATTATACCCCCACAGGACAAGTGATTCAGAGTGCTTGACCTTGTAAAAGGAAGGAGGTGACCCGAACGGCATAATCCTTATGATCTTAGAGAAATTTGAACCTTCCACTTTTATTTAAAATATGAGAAAAATACCACTAAACTAGTCTTTAGTATTCTGATTTTTCAACCCTAATTGTTTTGACATAAAGTATTTTTCAGAAAACATTTTTATAATTTTTTATACGTAGTTGTAATTTAAAATTGTCAAATTATTTTACCTGTAAAATAAATCCCTCTAAAACAACGAAAATGACTTGCATTTCAAAGTAGTGATTTCATTTATAATTATATCGATGTAGTGAGTTAAAATTATTATTATTATTATTATTATTATTATTATTATATATATATATAATGGTATATTATATTATTCTTTTATTTCATTTTTTGATATATCAATGTTATATCTTTGTTTTATTTTTTTGAGATTTTATTGTATCTAGCGGAAGAGCTACCTAGCACAGTCATGTCAATAGACAAATTTTCTTGGGCAGCCTTTCAAATTTTGTATCAACTTTGTACAATTATTTATTTTCAGTTATTTAAAAAATTAAACCAAGCAACATATTACCTTCTGTAGTTTTTAAGTTTTTTTTAATATGTCCCTTTTTTTTCTTATTTTCTTTTAAAGGAATGTTAAGACTTTTCTGTCTAATGATTTAGTGTGGTTTTACTATTGAGTATAAAGTATAAAATCAAAATAAATAGATATTAGAGGATATGAATATTAAAATAACAAAAAATAATTATTAGAAAAAAAAAAAAAAAAAAAAAAAAAAAAAAAAAAACCCCAACTTTGTTGGTGTCATTGATAAAAATATAAAGTATTTTCTTTTAAAAAGAAATTGGGTTTACACTAAAATCCTCTAATTGCTCGTTTTGTTTTTAAAAATTATTTTGAGCTCTTCAAACGGTGTTAATAAAAAGTATGAAATTATTAATTTACCCACATTAATATTTTAATATAAATTTGTATAAAACTGAAATTAAGAAAAGAAAAGCAAAAAAATTCCTTGCATCAATTGGACAGAGGGAGAAACTGGAGGATCGTTTTTTCATTTTGTTCAAACACATTTCAATTCAGAGGAGGAAGAAAGGGACGATTAGGGTTTTGGTTATCTGTTCAACACACTTGGATAGTTGGAGAGAGGAAGTGGAGGACTAGGGTTTCACTCTTCCATTTTCATCGCTCTTCAACACAGTGGCAGAGAGACGAGGAAATTATTTGATGGTAAGAAAGACTAACAAAACACCTTCTTTGTTATGTTCTTCGGTGCCTATTAGGAGCTTTGTTTGTTAGGAATTCATGTTATTGTGCATCCTTTCTTATGTAACTGTCATATGGCTATGCTATAGCATATACTTTATTCCATGTTGAGCCATCATGATTGATAGTTATTGTTACTCTGCTTTTCTTAGCTAAAATGCTCAATAGTTATATGTGTTCATTGTCTGTTCAACAGTTCCAGTTTTTTAGGTTCCCTCAGCTTCAGATTCTCAGCTATATTCTGTTCTTGACTACTAGTTATTGAATACAATCCCTCTAATGAATGAACATGGTCTAGGATTGATCAGCTTAAACCTATTAAAGTTTATAAGGCGTGTCAACTGAAGCATATTTTATTGTAAATTCATGGGCCTGTCAAGATCCATCTAGTTTTGTTGTTTCCAATCAACATATGACTCGATAAATGACCCCAACCCAGTCCAACCTAACCTATTGCCACTCCTTAGAGTTACATATTTGGTGTATTTTAGTCTTTTAATCCTCTTATAATACAGTACTTTTGTTAAATTTGTGTAGGCTGTATATATGTTTTTATACGTAATTAATATTGTCTGGGTGAATTTCTTGTAAAGAACGTAGGTGGAATGAGTGGTAAGAGACATGTAATTACATAATCACTTGATTTATTTATCATTAAGTACTGGTTTGAGTAATCAAGTAAGATTGATATTATCTGTTGCTTCAGTTCCAATCACGAGCATACTTTTTTAGTTTTAGTTCCAAAATATGGGGTAACTTTCTGAGTTGATGATGGTGGTGACTGGTGAGCTCGAGGCATTAAATGTTCAGTCCAATTTGTTGTCCACACATGCTAGTGTTTGTCTGTGCCCACTGCACAAGCCTTCCATAGCCTCTAAAGATTGTTAAGAGTGCTGTAACATTCTTGCTATGATGACAGCTTGCAAAAAGGTATGTTAGCAAAAGGTTGAAGACAATTGTTTCACAGGTTGAATGAGGATTGCCCACATCGAATGAGATAAGCCTCAGAGCATCCAATGATAAACAATCTTCACAAGACACGAACGACAATCAATTGTCATTTGGCATGCCAAATTTTGCTCAGAATGAGAGGGCGGATATTGACAAGGTTCAACTCCCACTCCGTGTACAGAATGATGGCGACGACAGAGAATAATGCCGGTACTGGTGTTGGGGACTCGCCGAGCAATCAGGGAAAGATTAAAATCATTCTTGATTGGGATTTTTAGGGACCATCCTTCTAAAGGGCTGGCAATGCATGCCAAATAGATTGGGTTTTTTAGGGACCATCGTCCTAGAGCTGGCAGTGCATGCCAAAACTGCAGCTAGAAAGGGACCTAACCAACCCTACAACATAACTCACTTTCCTACCATTTTTTGTTTGTTTTCCTCTCACAATCTGTTGCCATTTTCTTTCATTCTAATGTTTTCTATTCCATTTTGTTATCAGTCCAGCCAATCAAATTGATGGTTGTGGGCTTGCTGTAGAGGGAGGGACCAATAGAAGGTGGTCCAATTCCATAATTTTTTCATATACAACACATCCAACAGCAAATACTGACTAGTCATTCTCTGGGGTCTAGGTCTATTGGTACCCTCTTGTGCCTTGGACAATGATTTGTATGAGATGATTGAGAAAGCTATAATTGTACATTAAGTACCAGATGATGGCGGTGATATTGGACTTATGGTTTGTGAATATATATTTCTTCTAGGCTGACTTTTATGCTAGGGAAATAACAAAATCGATGACATGAGTCGGTCACAGGTGTCACAAAGACACGCTATGGGTTGTGAATATATATTTTCTTTTAGACCGACTTTTATGCTATGAAAATAACAAAATTGACGACATGACTAGTAAGGTCACGAGCGTCACACAAGCGTGGGGGCGTCATGCCTATGCGTGATCGAGTGTCGGTTACAATAGCAGTACTCTTTATGCTAAGATAATTCTGACCTCTCTCAGCAGAGATCTATGTTGTCCATGCCCTACCAAGTACCATACCAACCAGCAGGTAATTCCCAAACTTATTATATTTCAAGAAAACATGCAAATGCTAGGAAGGTTTTGCATGCTAAATGTTTACTAATGGAGAGCACGCCTGACGTGCATTAATAGAACATAGTTAGGAAGAGAGACCTTATAAGGGGAGTCCTTTTCCTCCGTCACACAACCAAATGTGTCATATGAGAAAAGCTTAAAAATGACAACATTATATTGAAGGTCGGGCATTTAAAGAGCTGATTAGTTTGTTACTCAGAAAACAGTTCTCTAATAATTAAAAAAATTAAAAACATGCCTTCTTTAACTGAGTTTTCAAAAAACAGAATTAAGCAGAAATTTTGTATAATTTTTTGGATTTTCAATTCTTTGGAAACAAAAAAATTGTTTACGAGTAACGAACTAAGTAGACCCTAATTGTTCTGAGTTTGGGAATATGAATCTTATAATTTATATATGTGACATGTTATTGATTTTAAATAATAAAAATTTTTCCCCTTTCTTGGCAATATGGTAATCTATGGGCATGTCAGTCTTCATGCCATGGTTCCATCAAGTCCCAAAACCAAATCTAAAATTTGATCCTCACAAAGCTGATGAATGGATCAGAAAGATTGGGACTTGGAAGACCTCTTTCTGTGGCATGTGGCTCTGCTTTTCGCCCTTTTTCACACTTTTTGCTTCGGTCTCATGATGCATGGGGCCCAAAGTTTTGTGATAACATTATGGACCACACAAGCACATAGTAAAAAGAAAGATTTGGATCATGTACCATATGAATTCACAAATAAATACCCCATTGTGAATTTAATTTTCCTAGTTCTTATATCTATTCTACAACCATAATTGTACCATGACATTTGTACTTGTGAACCATTTTCTGCCTATTTAATTTGTATTATGATATGCTTTATTGGTGGCTTATGTTTGATCAAGTCATTTAATGAAAGAATTTGTGTTCTCACTTTTCATTTTTATTATAAGCTTTGAATCTCTGATAGGCTTGCTAAAAGGTGCGCGCAATAACACCGTTCGAATTTAATACTAACCAAACACATTATAATAAAATATATGTGATGGCCTGTGATTCTCTCACTTAATTAAATAAATAGTAAAATCATTTTCCCTTTATTATAACAAACCAAATGGCAAATCCTTCCTTATGCATTATAACTAAAGGTAAATGTGTTACTTTTAAAAGTCTAAGTACATGATAAATGACCCCTCAAGTTAACATTGGCTAGTCAATGTTGTCCCATTAAACTTTTTGGATCATACAATAATTGAGCTTTTACATCTGATTTTCATAATTATGTGACATTTGATTGAGGCAGTTCCACTGCTAATTGAAAGTACTAGTTAACTAAATTGTTAAAAATAATCGTGATGCTTTAGTTTTAGAGAGTGCAAAAAAAAATAAAAATAAAAAAAATAAAAAAGAAAAGAAAAGAATGCATGTGGATCGGGATTGACTTAGTTGAAAAAAAATTGGATTATGTATCTCATAAAATATCAGGTCTTTTTTTTTTATAAAAATAAAAATAAAAATAAAAAAAAAACTTATCGAACAACAACTAAGTATGGAGGAGGAGAGAATGATTGCAGTGGCATGACGCATGACTCGTACTTCATTATCACGGCTCATACTGTAAAAGAGGACAGAAAGAGTGAGGTCTTCCTCATATGCATAAATCTTTTGAGAACTAAAAAAACTAGACTGACATGGTTCCACCACTTTAAGTTTAAGCATCATATATATATACATATATATATATAGCAATCATGTTCCAAGAGTAGGTAGAAGTAGCAAGTGTGTGTATGGGATGCACTCACGTGGTTGCTAATAATATATATATTTTTTTTTTTTTTTAACATACTAATAATATAATATGAGTATTATTACTAATTCCATGCGCCTAATCTTGTTCCTAAAATAAAAATGATGTTGATGCATTGGGAACATCTCAATGTCTACTTTAAGCTTTGAGCTACCTTTTCCTCTTTAAATTATTCATCATCTCATATAATTTCCTTATACAACTATCACCATCACCATCACCTTTTTCTCTCCCAAATATTATATTGTATAATATTAAAAAAAGAAAAGAAAAGAAAAGAAGAGAAAGCCATTAAATATATGGCTAAAAAATTTCTTTAATGAAAGTTGTTAGATGAGGTGGGAGAGATTGTTATTTTCAAATTTTAAAATCACTTGAAAAAAGAAAAGAAAAAAAAAAAAAAAATTATTCTGAGATCCAAGAATTAATAATAGCTGAGTTTACTCTATTAAATTTGAAGTACAGATCACGCATTCTAGGAGGTTACCAATTTAAATATAAACAAGAAGCAATTTATTGATTAAGTTTGAATAGTTTCATTTGAGTACGCTTTCACTGTCGCAATAATTTCTTAATTTTTAAAAGCCTTTTTGTGAACTTACCAGTGGTATGGATCTTTTTAGGATAATATTTAAGTTGTTAGTGAGAATTTATAGTGCCAAAAAGAGAGAATCAGTGATGCTAAACATGAAATTACTTCATTTCACCTTAGTTTTGATTTCTTGACATTGTTCCTTCACCTTTTTCTCTCTTTATGTTGAAGATTAATTAAAAAAGTTATCACTTTCCAAATAAATAAAAGAACTAAATAACAAAAATAAATATAGTATGGTACCTAATATTAGATTTGCTACCTTCTCAATTTTTATTTTTCAGAGTTTTGGAAATTTAAAAAAAAAAGAAAAAGTCAATCTCATACTTGGTATGAGGAAAGAGTAGAGGAAGATAAAATTTCCAAAAATTTCCCCTCTTATCATTTTTTTTTTTCCTTCCAACCAAACAGGGGATGAAAAAAAACAAAAAAATTCAAAATCAACTTTCTTTTCCGTTTTTATTCCTCTATTTTGTCTGTCTTCATTTTTTCAATTTCTCTCTTTTATAGTAGTTCTTTTATTCCCTTCCCTTCCCTTCTCCTCCTCCTTATCTACCATCCTTTCCCTTCTCTCTCTCCTCTCTCTTTCTCTCTCTAGAAGAATCACTGTAAGAGTGAAGACTATACAGAGTCGCACATTGGTCTGCAACTTTTATGCTCTGTTTCTTGTTACTATTAGTATTACTTATTTTTATATTCATATTCAGCATTATTTATTATTTTCTCTTTCTATGAATCTTTCTTTCATACTAAACGACAGCTTCTTCTTCTTCTCCATCTGTTACGCTTCGCGTTCTGTGACATTGAAGCTCGAAACCTCGTCGTTTTCTTCTGATTGCTCTGCTCTTTGTTGTTTTTAGTCTCTCATGCCCATCGATATTAGTAAACCCACATCACCATCTTCACCATTATCGAAAATATATATGCAGAGAAACCCATTAATGCCTCTGGGTCTCATTTGCTTTCCACTTTCCCGCCTTTTCTCTCTCCCTCTCTAGAATCGAATGAAATTTTCTCTACAGTGTGTGGTCTGTTCTCTTACTCTATATTTTTTAAATATATATAGATATATATATGTTTTATCTCTTCTTCTTTTTTTTTGTCAATTACTGTGAATTAATATGTTTTTCAACATTTTCTCTGTTTTTTTTTTTCAGGAAAATAAGAGATGGGTACCAGAGTTCGTAATTTGAATCCTAAGGAAGTGAGTTTATTTTTATTTTTATTTTTGGGTTGTTGAGTTTGATTTAATTTGTAAAAATTTCGAATTACAATAAAAATTGTTGAGTTTGGAGACTAAATCTGAAAGGTACCTGAGAGTTGAATTGTTTTGCTTTTGATACTAATTTGATTTGGGTTTTTTTCAAATATCTAATGAAAACTATATCATTGAAGGTCCCTCATTTTTGTTTTTTTCTTTTCAAAATTTAAATGTTGTCTATTTTCAATTATTTAATGTGTTAATTTGTGAAGTGGACTTGTTGAGTTGGAAAAGTTAGGCACTTTTTGATCCAAATCTGAATTGGGTTCTGTAAAATTCTCAAGAAACGAATAATTTCTTTTTAGTTTCTTTACTTCACAATTCACATGCTCATTTTGTTTATTTTTAAATTTTTATGACTTGAATTTTTCATAGCAGAAGATGAACAGAAATTTACCAGGTGCTGAGAAATCCATAGCGTATCGATCCAGAAGAGAAAGAAAATTGGCTTTACTACAAGATGTAAATCACATTGTCTATACAAATATTTGGTTTCATTCCATTTTTAGTTTCATTTTTAGCTTTTGTTCTTATTAATTTATTTATTAAATATTATTATTTTTACCAATTTGCAGGTTGATAAGCTGAAGAAGAAGCTAAGACATGAAGAGAATGTTCACAAAGCATTGGAGAGGGCTTTTAAGAGACCTTTAGGAGCTCTGCCTCGCCTTCCTCCGTATCTCCCACCATATGTTAGTATCAATGTTATTCAATTTCACCCCTCACTATGTTAGATCTGTCATTTACTCGTTTTCGTAGAAGAAAAATTTTCAATTTAGCTATAATGTCCTTAATTTTTTAAAATTTCGATAAATATAGACTCACATTCAACCTAGTTTTGGTGTTACCAAAGGGTTAATGACACAATGTGGAAGTCTGTGATGAGAAATATGACATATCCAAATGAAATCGACACTCAAGTCAATCCATATTGTCTTTAATTTGGGAAATTTCAATGTATATATATATATACACACATACAGATTAATTTGGAGTGTATTAGTTTAATTTAGAATGTGGAATTTAATACTGTAGACACTGGAGCTTCTTGCTGAAGTAGCTGTTTTGGAGGAGGAGGTTGTTCGGCTCGAAGTGGAGGTTGTTAATTTTAGGCAAGGACTATATCAGCAAGCTGTATGCGTATCATCCATGAGGAATGCGGATACTTCTATTGATTTCTATGACCTCGTTTCAAATAGAAGTTCCAAACAGGAGGAATCAAAATGTCTGTCCCAAAATGAAGCCAATTCAGTGTCATCCACGGCCAGGGTTTTACCTTCTCTTTCCAGAAGTGCTTCAAGAAGAAAGCTATCGTTCTCTGATGCTGCATCTGATTTAATGAGGCATTGTTCTGATAGGCCAACGAGTGTGAAACAAGCTGTGAAGAAGCTCAATTCCTTGTCGGAAGATGCACGTGGGAAAGAGAATTGGTCGTGTTCCAATTCTGCCAAGGACAAGCAATCCCCAGAAAAGAAGATCCCCACAATCAAAACCCCAGTTAAGAGACTACCAATAATGCCCGAATCAGTTGAAAAAAGTATTGATCCTCCGAAACTGCAGGTATATGATGATTGGTAGTTTTATCTAAGAATTATTCTCGATCTCTTAGTATTCGAATTAATCTTGGTTCTGATGGTACAGCTAGAGTGCAGATTAGTGGACCAGGGAAGTGCACAGGACAGCTCTTCTGGCTCCTCGGATTGCACAATGCTTGAAGCAGAAAGCACGGCAAACAAAATATCTGAGGATGTCTTGAAGTGCTTGTCTAGCATCATTTTAAGGTTGAGCACATTGAAGAACAAGACAGTCCAACCGAGGATTTCTCCATCTTTAGTGGCTTTGGCTTCTAATGGAAAAGGTCTTGAAACTGAGTTTCCTTATGGTATCTGTTCAGAATTCAGAAGAGATATTGGTCCATATAAGCATCTATGTGCAATTGAAACTGGCTCAATTGATCTGAACCGAAAAACAAATGCTTCATTTCTGATCCAAAGGCTCAAGTAAGTTTTCAGGTTGTTTTCTCCTTGGGTATATATATTCTTGGTGCGCTTATTTATTGTGCTGACTAAATATTCAGGCTACTCCTTGGCAAGCTAGCATCTGTCGATTTAGAGGGCCTTACCCATAAGCAGAAGCTCGCGTTTTGGATAAACACTTATAATTCCTGCATGATGAATGTAAGAGATCTCCCTATTACTAATAGCTTCGTTAATTTTGAAACAAGAGACGAAGAAGAACGTATTCAAATAAAATTGTATAACTTTTGAACATCATATGGCTTAACGAACTTCTTTGCCTTCGACCAAATTACAATACTAAGGCAAGAGTGATCTTTGTTTTCTGTTGACCTTTCAGGCATTTTTAGAGCATGGAATACCTGACAGTCCTGAAAAAGTTGTACAAGTGATGCAGAAGGTAAGATTTTCCATCATTCTTGACATTTACGATAAACTAATAACTATTTATGTTCTATTTCCTTTCACCCGTTACTTTATAGGCAAAATGGATACATGACAATATCAAATGTTATAAATCAACTCGACTGTCAATTTGATGTACTTACAATAAACTTAATTAGACCTGGTTTAGTATTTCATACTAAGCACAATGAGGTGGCATATATCAATATGCCAAGGATTTCATTATGGATGCGACTTGCGTCTGTCCATTCCCTCCAAAAATTTCTACCCCAATCTATATTGATAAATGCCACAATGAAGTGGCATATATCAATATGCCAAGGATTTCACTTCTTAAAAACTATAGTGAAAACACTAGATCATCAAGTGCATCTACCCCAATCTTGAATGCAAGGCTTCTAAATTTAAGCTCGTAATACTTTTCAATATAGCATATCGAGTCCACAACTGAATTTCAGCTATGTTTCTTCAGGCAACGATAAACATAGGGGGACATTTGCTAAATGCAATTATAATTGAGCATTTTATCCTGAGGCTGCCTTCTCATTTGAAATATGTAAGTTTCATGCCTCTTTAATGAATTTTTTGGTTTCCTCTTTTGTTGCAGAAGATAAAGCATGCTATGTAGCCTTTTTTTTTTTTTTTTTGAACAAACTTACTTTGAACAAACCCCCTTTTCCTGTTATCAATAGACTTGTCCAAAAGCTGCAAAGAACATCGAAACGAAGGCACGGAGTATATTTGGATTGGAGTGGTCTGAACCCTTGGTCTCATTTGCACTCTCCTGTGGAAGTTGGTCCTCTCCTGCTGTAAGTTTGCTGCACATTAAGATTGGTGTGTTAAAACTACAATGCAATATAACATAATTTTTTCTTAGGTACTTTTCACCAAAAAAAAAAAAAAAAAAAAAAAAAACAATTGATAAGATTATGAACCCCGCCAATGTCTTACCTAGTATTGTTGTTCGATGACATATTCTTCATAATTCATTTTGCTCGAATGTATAACTATCACTAAAGGAAATTTACATTCTTGAACTACTGGTCTGAGGTTTAGTATTAGGATCATGAGAAAGCCTTGGTAAAATTTCATTGTTGGTTATGATGAGACCAAATTTTGAAGATAAAAAGATTAGTCTGACCATTAATACCGCTCATTGAGAAAAATGCCTATGTTCTTATGATTACTTTTTCTTTCCCCTCATCACCATATTCGAGTCAATTAAATAACCAGTCATGCTTCATTCTAGGGGAAAAAAAAAAAAAATTGTCCTTTTGTAACTTTTCATCTGCACCTTATTGTTGTAATATGTAATCAGATTCAAATAAATAACCAGTCAGACTCTATAGAGTCTTACCCTACAATAATGTTGTTATAATAATATTGCCCTAATGAATTTCGATAAATATAATACATGTTTGTGTTAGTTTTGAGACAAAAATTTGTCAAATGAAGGTGAGGGTGTACACTGCATCCAAAGTTGAGAACGAGTTGGAAGCCGCAAAGAGAGACTACTTACAGGCAGCAGTTGGCATTTCAGCAACAAACAAACTAATAATTCCCAAGCTGTTGGATTGGTATCTGCTCGACTTCGCGAAAGATTTGGAAGCACTGCTTGATTGGGTCTGCTTGCAGCTACCAAGCGAACTCCGGAATGAAACATTTAGGTGCCTTAATAGGAAGAAGGGAGGAGAGCCTCTTTCACAGTTAGTAGAAATAATGCCATATAATTTCAGTTTCAGGTACCTTATAAAGCAATAAGAAGATTACATTTCCATTCATGAACCTTGATTATGAAAAGAAAATCCTCTCCTGCCATCAAGTTCGGGATGCACTTTACAAAAAAAGGTTGGGATATACTTTACAAAAAAGGTTGGGATATTTGAATATCCCAACCTTTTTGTAAAGTGCATCCCCAACTGGACGGGACAAGAACTACTGTTCCATTGGAGAGGATATTTGTCCCTTGATTATGCATATTTTGAAGAAGTTTGGAGTGGCAAGGTCTTTATACTTGATATAGTGATATGTAAGAAGAGTTGAAGGACACAATAGAATCTAGCCTCAGAGAGACGGTAGGAGAAATAATTTCTCCTTCAAATGGTGAATCTGGTGATTGGTTTTTCGAAAGATTGGTTTTGGGGAAGGGTGTAATAATGATGACTTAATTAAATTAATTCATTGTACTTTCAAATTTGTGAATTTTGGAGTGTGTAGAAGCTTTTTTCCTTTTCTCTTCATTTCGTTTTTGGTTGAGAGGGTAGTCCAACGCACAGATTGCATATTATAAATTATTGAATATTGCAAATCCAGAAAACTTCCCATATAACAGATGTACTGTATTGCATCCAGAACCTACATTGCAGATTATAGGTTTTTTTAAAATACAGGTTTTTTGAATAGGTAAGTAAAAAAAAAAAAAAGAGTTAGCCAGTGCACGAGATTATGAAGATATAGGCATGCCAATTATGTTATTCTTTCAAGGATCCAAGCCTGATATTATTCATGAATCAATTGGAAGGTCTAGGATTCTATGGAGAGTAGAGGTGGCTGGTTGATTGGGGTAGCAATTGGCTAATGGTTCATGTTCATGTTGTGTTGAGAGGATATTCAGGTTATCCTTTAGTATTGAGAATGATTATTTAAGAATGATTGTTTAAAATTAGTAATAATAAAATTATTTTTGAGAGTGAGAAAATGAAAATAATATTTTTGCTAAGTTTATATAGTTTCGAATTAAATTATGATATAAAAGGGTGTTAGTGTAATTTTAATACATAAACGGGATTGGTACAAAAAGTCTTTTTCGAACCTCAGTGTTTCTTTTTCTCCTTTTCCTGAAAGGAAGTAATAAGTATGGACTCGGACACATTCACGATATGACATGAATACACTGACTTATCAAATTCTTAAAAAATAGGATATGAACCCAAAGCCAGCATGAACATAGCTGATATAATGATGTAAATTTTCAGTTATATATCTAATGATTATGACAATTATAAAATTTTAGTTAATTTATAATTTCTATACTAAAGTTATATAAGTTAGATGAGGATGTGATTTGAATATAAAAAAGAATATATTATATTATATATAATATTACTTTCAGATTTTGTTGTTATAGTTGAATTTTTGTTCATCACATTCACATATGTTTAAATGTCAAAATTTTCATATATATATATAAGGTTCAGACACTTTGATATATGTTCATAATGTTATTTTTAGAAGTGTCATATTTTTATTTTACATAAGGTTGTAGTCTAATGGTATTTACTTTACCTCTGAGGGTTCGATTATTTGTGCAGACAAATGGGACAAAAGGGTGCTTGAGTTTTTTACCAATGAACAAAAGAAGCCAAAGGGTGTAGAATGTGAGGGTTAAGTGTCCATAATGTGTTGATTAAGTGTTCAAAATGTGTTGAACAAGTATTCGAGATGTGTCACAAGTGTCCAAAAGAATAAAATTTATTTTTAAATGTTGGACACAGTCATGGAGTGTTGAACACGTGTTTAGGAGTGTCCATTAAATGTTGGTATCCGACATGAACACGACACCTTGCATCATGACTCTGTCCTAATAAACTAAAAGTGAAATGGATACTCGTTGGAGCACGTTAAATTGCCACCCTAGTCAACTAATTTATCAAAATGAAACAATTAAAATCATTGTAAAAAAATAAAATAAAATAAGGTCATTGATATCCTAACTAAGTAGTCCTGAATATGATTTTTTTTTTTAAAAAAAAAAAAAAATCATATATAGGTACGTCTTTGTTATTTCTAAACTTTATTATGGAACCACTGTCCAAGGACAAAATTATTTATTGGGCCCAGATCTATCCAACATCTCTTCGAGATGTGTCAAGTTTGAGTCAATGAAAAGACAGACATGGGCCTCCTTCTGGCCTTGACCTGTGGATATCCGTCACTCGGGAGTTGGATTGAACAAACTTTAGACCACTGAAATAGCTGGGCCGACTGGGCCTGTGGGGTTTTCATGTTCCAATGTCCAAAGTAGGCCATATAGCAACGAGTTTGGGACACTGAAATTAACATGACAGGCACCTAACAGATAAATGGAAAACAACATTGAGGACAACTGTTGTACTATATATAGATATATATATATATATATATATATATATATATATATATATATATATATTTTATGTAAATCCAACAACGAAAATATTTCACTAAAGTGAATTGTACATGAAACAAATTTTAATTGATAAATAATTACTTATTTCTGAATATTTAAAATTTTAAAACTCTAATTGGTTGCAAAAGAGAGAAAATCGGCCACATTAAAATTACATTTTGGGGAGGTCCATTTGATATCTAAAAACTGCTCAGCAATAGACTAATAGTCTGATAAGTGGAAAATGTTGGGGGTGAATCAGAAAGGTTTGAATAGAGTCGAATCTAAACGTTAACAGGGTAAGCGTTCACTAGTAAGAGGAGTAGCTATACACCATGTAGACCATCCCTACGGAGATGGTGAAGGGAGGGCCCTAATTGGTAGAAGAAAAAGACACTATACCCTTTTAAGGATTTTGAATAGGTAAGTAACCAAGAAAAAAATAAATAAATAAAAATAGCCCAGTGCACGAGTTTCTTGTCAATTATGAAGATATAAACATGCCAATTATGTTATTCTTTCGATCCTTTTAAGGATTCAAGCCTGATTTAACCATATTCATGAACCAATTGGAAGGTCTAGGACCAAGGACGGAGCCAAGATTTAGCTTTAGGGGGGGCCACAAAGTAGTAATTTATAAATTATATACCTATATGTGTGAAAAAATTTCATTTCCAAGGGTATTTTTGAAAAAAATAAATAAATTTTAGGGGGGCACAAAGAGATAGTGAGGGTTCGAATTCCTGTGCGGACAACTGGGTGCGTGAGTTGTAATCTAGAAAACTTCCTGTACATATAGCAAATGTATTGTGTTGCATCAAAACTTACATTGCAGAGTATAGTTATTTATTAATATTTTTTTAATATATATTTTTTGAATAGGTAAGTATAAAAAAAAAAAAAAAAAAAAAAAAAAGGTTAACCCAGTGCACGAGGTTTTGTTAAGTTTTCATACTTTCTAATTAAATTAAAACTTAAAAGGTGGTAGTATAAATTCAATACATAAACGAGATGGGTACAAAAAGCCTTTCTGAACCTCATAATTTCTTTTTCTCCTATTCCCGAAACATAAGAAGTATAGATACAGACACGATATGATACGGATACACTGACTTGTCAAATTTTAAAAAGTAGGATATGAACTTGGACCCGGCATGAACATAGCTGATATAATATAAATTTTCATTTATATATCTATTGATTATGACAATTATAAAATTTAAATTAATTTATAATTTCTATACTAAAGTGATATTGCTATGCTATGTCCCAGATTTTTCTGAATTTTTTATTTATTTATTTTTCTTGCCTCGTTTTGCATGCTACGCGGGTTCTGAGGGTTACTTTGGTCATTTTCTTGAGTTGAGGGTTTTAGAAATGTATTTTTGATTATTTTAATTCAACTAGAGTTGACGGGATCATTTTTAGAATTTTTCAAAAGTCGAAACGATTTATGAGCTCGGGAACCTCTCCCGGTTTTTGCCGTTTGTATAGAAGGGCGCAATGGACATTTCACATGCATATATGTATATGTCTATCGATAGGTTAGAGGGAGATATTTTAGGGAGCTTGTTGATATTGAAGTGGAAGAAGGAGGGCTAAAAGGTAACTTATCATAAAGTTGTATCCACAAAAAAATGTGACACTTGGCCAAAAGAGAGCCATGCACGCATTTTGAACTTGGCTAACCCTCATCTTCTTTCCCATTTTCGGTTAGTCTCTCTCTCTCTCTCTGACTTTCTCCCTCTCTCTCTATATCTATATACACACACACACATACATTTCATATTTTTAAAGGCCTCAAGGTAAGATTTGACAGGAGAGCAAGGAGAAGAAGTTGAAGTGCACATTGAGAACTTCCATTTGACACCATTGATGCTAAGGCTTGGTGGATTTCGAGATTAAGGCTTGACTAAGGGATTGTTTGGCTAAAAGGAATTGAGGTAGAGGTGTCTAAATTATTAAGTTTTGCCTTTATTTGAGTTCTCTTGCTTTAATTTCTTGCTAAGCATGTCTAGAAGGATAAATCTTATGATAGAAATGTTGCCTATGTGTTTATGTGAATCAAGCATATTCAATGATGATGATGGTTTTATGCATATGTATACTTGATTGTACGATTGTCTAAAGCATGATTATGTGTACGACTTGATATCATGAAAGTGTATAGATGAGTATAATGATGTGATGTTGATGATGAGCATACTTGACTAATTGAGTAGAATTGTAAAGTGTAAAAAGATTGATTTCATTCATACATGATTTCATTTATGGCATAGGCATGGTATAATACCCTTAATTTTAAAAAGGATAGTCTCGGTATTTTTCTTTTATGGTTTTATTGAAATTTTAAATTCTTTATTTGTTTATTTAGCTATTTGTTAATTGGTTAATTGTTTTATTAATTTATTTGGTTTAATTGAATTGTATGCTTATGTGGCATTGCATTAATTATTTAAATTGATTAATTTGTTTAAGTGTTATTGTAGGTTTAAATTGATTTATTTGTTTTGTTGAAATCATGTACTTATGTGGACTTAAATTGAATGTAAATTAAATATATTATTTTTATTTTTAAACGGAGTTGGGCTTGGATAAGAGCAACAAACTATTTGAATATGGTAAATGGGTACAGTTATTACCCATGGATGGATATACATGTATATATGTGTATATATGTATATAGAGTTTGTTTAATTATTAGTATTTATTAATAATTAAATTAGTATTATTATTCATTATATAATGTATAATATAATTCGAGGGTTTTATATATTTTCACGGATTAGCCGACTTAGTTGTAATTTTATTGTATTTTCTTTTCTTTTCACTCTCTAAATATAATTAAAATTAAGGTTGTGTACGCCTATGTATATATATAACATAAGATATCTGCTTAGGGTTTAAAAATCAACAAAACCCTATTCACGAACAGATAGAGATTTAAGAGAAAAATAGAGAGAACCAGTTAGGGTTTCGGCCATAAATTAAAGGTCGGACCAAGGAGGAAGGAAGGGATTGCTTGTGGGTTTGAACCAGAGTAGTGGGAGGTTTGATTATAGTCGGCAGTCGTCGGAAAACTTAGAGACGACG